CATCCCTTCTTCCATACTCTTAAGCTCATTTTAGAATAGTTATTTCTTATATTTTTATAGCATGTTTAGTCTCCAAATGAGGAGCTAAACTTCCATTTCTTGGTGTTGCTCTTGAAGCTTGTTGATTATTAAAGTTGTGAGTTATTTTCTTAACTTCTTTCCTTGAATATTAATTCTTCCTTTAAATACTATTTCTATATCAATGTTGGGGAGTGTTGCTAAGATGACAATTAGTTAACATCTTGACATTGGTCTTAGTAATAGCTATTCCTTCCTCTATGTTAATATTGGGGAGTGTTACTAAGATGACAATTAGTTAACATCTTGATATTAACTATAGTAGGATTCATTTTCCTTAATATTCTTCCTTGAGTATTAATTAATTCCTATTCATATTTCATATTAATATTTTTGAACATTACTTAAAGGATCAACTAGTTTCATTTCAAATATTAATTATTACTAGAAACGATCAACGAACCGATGGTTAATCGTTGATGGTTTCACAAGTAAGTAACTTCGGTTTATTAATGCACGGTCGTGGTTAGTAAACTTAAGAGGGATTAATTGTGTTGGTTAAACCGAAACCGCTGTGTTGAGGTTATCAATCTCAATTGATTTCATCAAGGAGTTAAGAGATTAAATGCTACTATCAAGTAGGTATATGACGTTGTTCTATACTTGACTAATAGTAAGGGTTATTAATGAACGGTCGTTGTTAATAACTTTCCTCGATGAATTGGATATACTCCTCGATTGAGTATTCGAGAGGAGATAAGTTATAGATATAACAATGATCGACTGAAATATATCAACAAGTGGAAAGTAGCAATGCCAAGTCCTTTTTATCTTTGAATTAAATCACATATAACTCGTTCATCTTCGTGTTTAAATTTATTACTCAATCCCAAAACCCCCCCTTATTTACTAGTTTTATAAAAAGAGAATTATTTCTTTTCCCTGTGGATACGAACTCTACTACGCTATACTACGTATAAGTGTTAGTATTGAATTTATTTTGACGCACCGTGACAAAGTGCACGTCATGCTGTAATACGACTTTGTCTGTGATTTGTGTCGTAGTTGTCTGTGCTATGTATCCGCTATTACATCCACTTACAATATTTTTAATAACTACTTTATGTAATTTAATACCTCAGACTTTTATTACTTTGATTACCACTGGAGCCCATGTGTAATTTTGAGGTGATCAATAAGTTTACAGATTATTAGTTTAATCTTACAAACTTTACTTTTTTATTTTAGTAACTACTCCGTAATTGTTTAAAAACTACTAGTATATGTAATCCATTGTCTATAGCGCGTCTGTGAAGAAGAAAAAATTTACGTATGGTGTAATACCACTTTGTCTGTCAATTGTGTTGTATTTGTCTGTGCTATGTATCCTTTTTTGTATAGTTTGAAAAATAGACATTTTCAAAAAGAAATATGTTTCACAAAATATGTTATATGACATTAATACGACTTTGTTTGTGCTTTTATACGACTTTGTCTGTGATTTGTGTCGTAGTTGTCTGTGAAGAAGAAAAATCTTGTTTGTGTTGTTATCCGCTCTTACATCCACTTAAAATGATTTTAATAACTACTTTATGTAATTTAATAACTAAAACTTTTATTACTTTTATTACCATTAGAGCCAATGTGTAATTTTGAGGTGATCAATAAGCTTACAATTTTTTTTTTGCAAATTTAAGCTTACAGATTATTAGTTTAATCTTAAAAACTAACTAGTTGTTTAAAAACTACTGGTATATGTAATCCATTGTCTATTGTGCGTCTGTGAAGAAGAAAAATCTTGTTTGTGCTGTTATATGACTTTGTCTGTGATTAGTGTTGTAGTTGTCTGTGAAGAAGAAAAATCTTGTTTGTACTGTTATATGACTTTGTCTGTGATTTGTGTCGTAGTTGTCTGTGAAGAAGAAAAATCTTGTTTGTGCTGTTACATCGTCCATGGCCGCCGCCAAGTTCAGGGACATTGTCCATGGCCGCCGCCACCGGTTCTCCGTCACGTTTAGCCACCGCTGCCGGTTCTCCCTCAATTTCAGCCGCCACCGCCGGTTCTCCATCAACTTCAGCCGCCACCCGCCGGTTCTCCGTCAACTTCAGCCGCCACCCCGCCGGTTCTCTGTCAACTTTAGCCACCACCGCCGGTTCTCCGTCAACTTCAGCCGCCACCGCCGGTTCTCCGTCAACTTCAGCCGCCACCGCCGGTTCTCCCTCAACTTCAACCACCAAAATCTATTGATTCCATTGATTTTGAAGCTTGTTATGCGTTGAGGTGTGCTGCGGGTACAAGAAAGAAGAACGATGGGGGAGGGAGTGGGGAAAGAGAGGGTGGGTTGTATTTGAGCGTAAGAGCATCTCCAATGGTAAAATGTGCACGGTGCACACGTGGCATGAAAAATAGCCACATAAATATTAGTAAATAAATTCTTTCTCTCCTTATTTGAATGATCTTATACAAATTTGGTAAGTTTTTCTCCACAATGTCAAGAGACCGTCTAGATATTGACATTGTTGTTGACATTGCAGGAAAAAACTTACCAAAATTGTATAAAATCATTCAAATAAAGAGAGAAATAATTTATTTGCTAATATTTATGTGGCTATCACTCATGCCACATGTGCACCGTGGAGATTATAGCATTGGAGATGCTCTAAGGGAGGGAGAGGGGTAAAAAAAATGGTAATTTTTGGGCTTATTTATAGTGTGTAGGTGTGTGTATGAGTTGTGTGTACCCCAAGCCCAATTGTTGGGGAGTAGCTGACGTCTGCGATGAATAGCTGTTCTGCTTATGGTTTATGGTTTCGTCAATTAATTATTTACATCATCACATGTGATGTTTGATTTTAGGCCTCCGTGACCTCCGTCTTTGAATGTAGGTAATTCACCCGAACTCCTAATCTAATACGGAGTAGTATAAGACAATAGATACGGAGTAGTATAATCTAATACGGAGTAGTATATAATCTAATACGGTATATTTGATCGGTCAACACTCAAGCCTAGTTTTTTTTTTTGGCTTGTTTTTTTTTTTTCTTTTTTCTCCAGGGGGTCTGGGGGAGGGGGCTGGGGGGAGCCTGGAGTAATCAAGGCTGAAACTCACTCCATTTAGTTTCACACCCTTGTGTGCCTAGCGGGTTTCGAACTCGAGACCTTTCGCTAGACACGGTAACCTCACAACCAGCTGGGTTGTAATGCTTGGTTCTCAAGCCTAGTAAATTGAGAGTTAAATTATCAGAAATTGTCCTAAATAGGAGCAAAAACGTTTTGAAATTCCAAAATATGAATATCATGTTTTTTATTCTCTGAATAGAAGTAATCTGCCAAGTTTGGAAAAAAATACCATGTTAAAAGCCTTGTAATGCCAAACTTGGCAGAAATTTACTCCTATTTAGGAAATAAAAAACATGATACTCCTATTTTGGAATTTCAAAACATTTTTACTCCTATTTAGGGAATTTTCTCTCAAATTATTTGTTTAGTTTTAACTTTTTAAGCACTTTATTACTTCCTTTAAATTTATTTGATATAGATAAACTTAAATTTGTAATATTTATGATATGATATTATATTTTTTAGGTTATCTATGTCTTGGTATCAATTTGTAACACGGGGCAGGGAGTCTTCAAAAATCAAACGATCAAACGAAGAAAATAATAGGTAAAAACATGTTCGTGCGGAACTCAATCCAAATGATATTGTGATTGGTCCGGGGCCACGAAAACCTATCAATGATTTTGACAATTTCATTAGAGACCAAGTTCAAAGGGAGTATTTAATTGGAGGTTTGTGTAGATCGATAGATCATGTTTACCCTCGAAAAAATACGATAGAGATTATAGATCTTTTCAATCTGCGTGGTTTAGTCCTCCCCATTAAATTTTATTCTGGTTCCGCCTCTGCTCATATGCATAAGGAGGCACCACGTTAAATAAAACTTCGACAAAATTGATGTCACAGATTGAACTTGAGACCTCAAACCCATTGCGATAGTTGAGCTCCCCGTGCATGTATAATTTGTCACCTCGCTAATGATGTGATGTGATACTCCACTGCTTAGGTTAAAATGTGTTTTTCTTAGTTCGTAAATGGAAGGCAGGGGTGGAGGTAGAAGGGGGCAATCGGGCCTAGGTCCTCCCAAACTATAAAATTCTTTGCATTTTTTGTGTAAAATTTATGTGTAAAAATTTTCATGAAAAAAATATTTGTATCGGCCCACCCCAACCTTGGTGGCTAGATTATATGGTTCCACAATGGGCCAAAACCACCCTTTGCTACAAGTGTTGCAACGGCATGGTGTGGTTCCGAATATTGGTTTAGTCATAACACTTATAATCAACTCTAATAGTAGCAATATCTAATAATTATAGAAATTGTCCACAATAGGAGGAAAAACGTAGAGCTGTCAAACGGGCCAACCCGCCCCGACCCGCGGCAGGTTATGAGTTTCACGGGTCGGGGCTGTAACGCCCCAAAATCCGGTCTAGTAGTTAAGATACATATGAATAAATTACTTTATCAAATTTAATATTTTCTCCTACTTCATGTAAATTTAAAATATTATTTAATCAAAAGAGTATTAATAATAAAGTAATAATGGAATAGTACGTACTCTAACACTCTTTTAAAATATTTAATTTAATTGAACCAAAATGGAAAACCAATACTTGTCTCAAAAATTTAATTAAACTTCCCACTAATCTTATACCGACATACGTATGTACTCTAATATATATTATAAGAGTCAAACATATTAAATTGATTAGGTATGGGCAGCCCAATTGAAGGTCTTTTCATATTAGATATTTTACACATAATATAATGCAATTAGACTCATCGGTCTTGAAGGAATAGTTGCTTCAATAATTCTGTCCTCTAATAATTTTATCTACTACGAATTGAAGTATATGAATGAACATAGCTACCTCACACTATATATAAACAGCTCTCATAATCCCAAAACCAATTCCATGCGGCTAGACACAAATAAGTTCCAAAAATACATACTACTACGTATATACCAATTGGGAAAGATTTGAGCAAGTAGAAGAGGTGGAAACGAACTGCAGAAAATAGCTTCGGGTCCAATATCATTAACATTTCTTATATAAGGTCCGTACGTTTTCTGTTTCCATTTTTTTTAAGTATTTTTATTATTAGTATCAATCCGTCCCCGTTACGTTATGGGGATGTTGAAATCCGTATATGATCATAATAAGTTATCTGCTTCTATTAAGTGTTCATGATCATAATATTTTATCTGTTTTTTTTTTTAATATGAGAACTTTCATTCTGTGAGTGCTCGATTGGTCCTCACTATAGTTACTATAAGTATAAATGTAAAGTTTAAAGAGAAATACCATTTAATGGTAATAACATTAAGTAATTATAAATCGAGAAATAAAACTTAAACAATTGTAACTCTGTTCGGTGTATGTACGTATGCATATAAAATCATATACTTTAAGCGTTTAAGATATCGTGGTATGAAAAAAAGGCTGAAATATACGTATAAAGGTAAATATATGGCCGAAATTCTTAATATATTAAAGATAAATATATACAGTAACTTTATAAATATATAAAAAGCCGAAATTCTAAATATATGGATTACTTGAATATGTATATAATAAGTATCTTTAGTTAACGATGGTATATATAAGTACATGTCGTATGATCAGTTTAGATTTTTAGTAATAAAATAAGTACGTAACTATAGCTAAATTATTAACATATATGTGTGTATGTATATTCTCGATCATGTAGGAATCAAACCATTATATAAAGTGTATGAGTAATCAGGATTCTTAAATTATGTATACATACGTGTGTGATTTAGTAATTAACAAGTGTGATGTTATATTCACACACACAAACTCATTTAGATAAGATTCTATGGAAGTACATAAAAATGTGTGCCTTAGGATCATGGTCTAAAATTAGAATAATAGTCAATCATGTATATATATTTTGTTTATATATTACTATTTACGAAAGTGAAAAATAATATGGAGTAATAATTTATGTGTTGATTGCATAACTTTAGTACGTAAGGATCTAAAGTAATGGTTACTGTTTGTTATAAGGAGTATTTTATTAAAATATAATTTCTTAAAGATAATCCAGATACTCCGTAGTAATTAATAATTTTATAAAAAGTGTTCAGTATAAAGATTAGTTAATAATCATAAAAATACCCTAAAATAATTTAAGATATGTTAAACGCATTATTTTTTTATTGTAAATAAGCTAATAGAGAGAAATGTTTCCTAAATGCCTTACTCTTGATCCGGTACTCTGACGCGAATACTCCTGTTCTGTTTAGTGTACTATGTACACTCCTGAAATTCTGTCTTAGAGGAATTAGTGTTCTCCTGTTTAGTGTACTATGTACACTCCTGAAATCTTTTTAGAGCACTATTACTCTTCTGTTAAGGTTCGAGTCTCTTCGGTGATCTCGTCCTTTCTGTCAGCTAGCTTCTGTTAGGGATTGGTACGTGTAGCTCCGGCGATTACGTTTCCATATCCTTTCTGGGTAATGTGGGTATGGACTTTATGTTCGTATTCCTTACCGTTAGTATTCCTCCGTCTAGGTCCAGTTTCTTGAGTACAAGGCTTAAATGAATTTTTTTTTATAATATACATACCTCCGAATAAGAATTATTTGATAATTATGACATCTGAATATGCTTCTGATCTGTATATGGATATTTTGATTCTCATGACAGTTATTCGGCTCGCTCAGGTATGTCATATGTTTATTTGACTAGATGCTAATTATGTTATGTTGCTATTTGATATAAATATGTGATAATTATTATAATCATTATTGTTATGATTATTGTTATCAGTATTTGTACCGTACCACTCAGCACATTGCTGAGCGGGTAGTTGTTTGTTTTTCCTACCCGTAGGTTGAAGTACATTCAGCTAAGATAAGGATGCTGGGATGGAAGGAGGCATAGGATTCATGTGCATATCATGTGTGTATTGTTTATGAATAAACAAATAAGAAGCAAGTTTGACTTTGAACTTATCTGATCATTTTCGTTGTGTAAACGCTTCCGCATATTTTAAATATTTTGTGTTGTATAATATTAAGTGATTTATGGCGAATTGATATTTCAGGTATCGAAAAATAAGTTGACGTTTGAATAACGATGATTTATTTAAATAATAAATTAAATTTGTTTTAAATAATTAAAAGTCTTTTGGTTAAATCCGTTTTGACTCCTGCCTCGTGACACACCGCTCGGGACGGCGGGGCCAGTTCGGGTAGGGTGTTACATTTTGGTATCAGAGAGTTTGGTTTTAAAAGCGATTCTAAAAAAATGGGTTAAAGTTTATTTTTAATATGTGTCTTGCATTGCATTTTAGAAGTCTGCCTCACATCCTGGTATTTAGTTATGTCATAGATAACTAAGTTATTATGGAACTTTTAAATTTAGGCGCCTATAATGTCATCTGAAGATCCAAGTGAGCATTCTGTGCATGGATCTGAACATGCCAGCGCTCACCATGATGAATACCATGTTCCGAATCCGTTCATACAGCAGATGACTGGACTGTTTCAGCAAATCGTTCAAAATGTGATCCCGACTAATAACGGAGACGCACGGGAGTCCATTACGATCGAGAAGCTAAAGAAGAATGGCGCCTCCATTTTCTTTGGAAAAAGGGGGGATACTCCGGAAATTGCTGAATTTTGGCTTGAGCAAACTGCTCGAGTCTTAGAAGACTTACAAGTGCCGATAGCCGATCGCCCACGACATGCTATTAGTTTGCTACAACATGGAGCCTACGATTGGTGGAAATCAGTACTTCTCAGACCTGATCTACCGAGACCCGTGACGTGGGACTACTTCCAGGAACGCTTCATAGATCAATTTGTCCCGGCCTGGTACCAAGAAGAACGAAAACGGCAGTTTATGGATCTGACACAAGGATCCATGACGGTGGCAGAGTATGCATATGAATTCCTTCGCCTGAGCAAGTATGCTCCCGATATGGTAAGAATGGAAGCTGACAAGTGCCGGAAATTTGAGTATGGGCTTAATGAGGAAATCGCTGGGCAGGTGGTTACCTTACGCCATGTTAGCTTCACGTTGCTTGTGGGGGCCGCTCAAAGTTTTGAAGGGTGGCGCAGAAGAAAGACCACCAGGGGGACATTTTCTTACTCAGCACCGCCAATGAACTCGACAGGGAAGAGACATGAAAGTGGAAAGGGAAAATCTCAGAGTCGATATAATGAATCATCTCGTGCCAAGTCCACGTCTGGTAGCAACAAACCTCGACCACCGGTTTCTCAGGTCAAAAGTGTCCCGCTATGCTCGTTTTGTGGCAAACACCACATCGGTGAATGTAGAAAAGCCTCCGGAGCTTGTTTTCGTTGTGGCCAAAAGGGGCACATGCTCCGACAATGCCCTTTGCTTGTCACAGGTGATGCCTCTTCAGCTCCAGTCCGCCCCACTCAGCCCCCACAGATGAGCCAACAAACTCGTATCCAAGGCAATACTGGGAGCAACTCTGACACGGTAAACAGGCCTACACAGGGTCGTCCCCAGGCTCGGACTTATGCCATGCAGGCTAGAGAAGAGCAACCAGAGAATGATGTCATTATTGGTATGTTCACCCTTTTCAACACTGATATATCTGCTTTAATTGATCCCGGTTCCACACATTCCTATATATGTGTCTGCCCACCTTGTTTAGATGAATATCCAAAAGAACATCTAGACATCCAAATGGAGGTGTCCACACCTTTAGGGAGAAGTATTATTGTTAATCAAATATACCGACACTGTCCTTTAGAGGTTCAAGGGAAACAATTTAATGCAGATCTCATTAAATTACCCTATCGAGAATTTGATGTAATTCTTGGTACGGATTGGCTCTCTAAGCATAAAGCTATAGTGAATTGCCAAGACAAAACATTACTACTTCAAACTGAGCAGGGTGATACTATTCTTGTTCCCGGAGAATTATTTCCGAGGCCACCTCAACTCATTTCTATGATGCATGCTAAAAGGCTTATGCGTAAGAAATGTCAAGCATATCTAGCATATGTTCGTGACACTCAGAAAGAAGCTCAATTAGTACAAGACATCCCTATTGTACAAGATTTTCCAGATATCTTTCCCGATGAATTACCAGGTTTACCACCATCTCGAGAAGTGGAATTTAATATCGAACTAGTTCCTGGTACCACTCCAATTTCAGCAACTCCTTATCGAATGGCTCCTGCTGAAATGAAAGAATTAAAGGCACAACTTCAAGATCTCTTGGATAAGGGATTCATCCAACCTAGTGTGTCTCCATGGGGCGCACCCGTTTTATTCGTGAAGAAAAAGGATGGTTCCATGAGACTATGCATTGATTATCGGCAGCTAAACAAAGTGACTGTGAAAAATCGTTACCCGTTGCCGAGGATTGATGATCTCTTCGACCAACTCAAGGGAGCCAAAGTGTTCTCAAAAATTGATCTTCGTTCGGGATATCATCAGCTGCCCGTGAAAAAGGAAGATGTACCCAAAACTGCATTTAGAACAAGATATGGACACTATGAGTTTTTGGTTATGCCTTTTGGGTTAACCAATGCTCCTGCCGCATTCATGGACCTAATGAACAGAGTATTCAAGCCCCTTCTAGACCAATTTGTGGTTGTATTTATTGATGATGTTCTGGTCTATTCAAAGTCTGAGGAGGAGCACAAGGAACATCTTAAGATTGTGTTAGAAACACTACAAAAGCACAAACTCTATGCCAAGTTTTCGAAGTGTGAATTTTGGCTTGATCAAGTAACTTTCTTGGGTCACGTCATTTCAGCAGATGGCATAAGAGTTGATCCCACGAAAATTCAAGCCATTACAAACTGGAGACCACCTCGAACTGTGACGGAGGTCCGAAGTTTCCTGGGATTAGCAGGTTACTATCGTCGCTTTGTTAAAGGCTTTTCCTTGATAGCTTCACCTCTTCATAAACTCTTGAAGAAAAATTCACGTTTTGAATGGGCACCCTCTTGTCAAGAGAGTTTCGATAAACTAAAGAAGGTTCTCACAGAAGCTCCGGTACTTGTTCAACCGGTATCTGGTAAGGACTTCACCATGTATAGTGATGCTTCTCATAATGGCTTGGGATGTGTATTAATGCAAGAAGGAAAAGTGATCGCGTATGCCTCGAGACAACTCAAAGAGCACGAGAAGAACTACCCCACACACGATCTGGAGTTAGCCGCTATCGTCTTTGCTTTAAAGATATGGCGACATTATCTTTATGGGGAAAGGTGTTACATCTTTACCGATCACAAAAGTCTGAAATATCTTCCGACTCAAAAGGAGCTAAATTTGAGGCAAAGGCGTTGGTTAGAATTAATCAAGGATTATGATTGTGTAATCAATTATCATCCAGGGAAAGCTAACGTTGTGGCAGATGCTTTGAGTCGGAAAACTCTAGCTGAATTACATCTCAAACCTTCACTTCAAGAAGAAATCATAACAGCTCAAAAATATGATGATCAGTGCCTTCAAATAGTGGAGTCAATTTCTAAAGGGGAGAAACCAGATTTCACTAAACAAAGTAATGGTGGATTGTGCTTCAAGGGACGTTTGGTCGTTCCTAATGGAGAGGTTAAACAAAGAATTCTGCAGGAGTCACATGAAACAAAGTACTCAATGCATCCGGGCAGCAACAAGATGTATCGAGATTTGAAGAATCTATACTGGTGGTCTGGTATGAAACGTGATATAACTGAGTATACTTCTAAGTGTCTCACTTGCCAACAAGTTAAAGCTGAACATCAAGTTCCATCTGGATTGTTACAATCCATTACAATACCAGAATGGAAATGGGATCGGGTAACCATGGATTTTGTGGTGGGATTACCTTTGACACCAAGGAAGAATGACTCAGTTTGGGTAATTGTGGACCGACTTACCAAATCTGCTCATTTCATACCCATTCGAAGGGATTTCTCCTTAAACAAGTTGGCCGAATTGTATCTCCAAGAGATAGTCCGATTACATGGAATACCGCTATCCATCATATCCGATAGAGATCCAAGATTCACTTCTCAATTCTGGAGAAGCTTACAAGAGGCACTTGGTACAAAATTGAACTTTAGCACAGCCTTTCATCCTCAGACAGATGGTCAATCTGAAAGAGTTATTCAAATTCTTGAGGATATGATGCGAGGATGTGCTATTGAATTCAAAGGAAGTTGGGAGAAATACTTGCCTCTTATGGAGTTTGCATACAACAATAGCTATCAAGCTACCATCCAGATGGCGCCGTACGAAGCTCTGTATGGTCGTAAGTGTAGAACTCCGGTCTGTTGGACAGAGCTAAGTGAAAGAAAGACCATTGGGCCAGATTTGATTCAAGAAACAGAGGAGAAGGTCCAGTTGATTCAACAACGACTCAAGGAAGCATCAGATAGACAAAAATCATATGCTGATTTAAAGCGTCGTGATATCGAGTATGCTATAGGAGAAAAAGTTTTTCTGAAAGTGTCTCCTTGGAAAAAGGTATTGCGTTTCGGAAAAAGGGGTAAGCTAAGTCCGAGGTTTATTGGACCTTACGAAATCACTGAACGTATTGGTCCTGTAGCCTATCGACTAGCATTACCATCAGAGCTGAGCCAAATACATGATGTTTTTCATGTGTCAATGCTAAGAAGATATAGATCTGATCCTTCACATGTACTAACACCCGGAACTGTGGAGCTTGATAAAGATTTAACCTATGAAGAAGAACCTGTACAAATTCTGGCTCGAGATGTGAAGGTGTTAAGGAATAAAACAGTTCCCTTAGTCAAAGTTCTTTGGAGGAACCACACCACGGAAGAAGCAACTTGGGAAACCGAAGAAGCTATGATGGCTCAGTACGCATATTTGTTCAACAACGTCAACTCAGGTAATTTCGAGGACGAAATTCTTTTAAGGGGGGGAGAAATGTAACGCCCCAAAATCTGGTCTAGTAGTTAAGATACATATGAATAAATTACTTTATCAAATTTAATATTTTCTCCTACTTCATGTAAATTTAAAATATTATTTAATCAAAAGAGTATTAATAATAAAGTAATAATGGAATAGTACGTACTCTAACACTCTTTTAAAATATTTAATTTAATTGAACCAAAATGGAAAACCAATACTTGTCTCAAAAATTTAATTAAACTTCCCACTAATCTTATACCGACATACGTATGTACTCTAATATATATTATAAGAGTCAAACATATTAAATTGATTAGGTATGGGCAGCCCAATTGAAGGTCTTTTCATATTAGATATTTTACACATAATATAATGCAATTAGACTCATCGGTCTTGAAGGAATAGTTGCTTCAATAATTCTGTCCTCTAATAATTTTATCTACTACGAATTGAAGTATATGAATGAACATAGCTACCTCACACTATATATAAACAGCTCTCATAATCCCAAAACCAATTCCATGCGGCTAGACACAAATAAGTTCCAAAAATACATACTACTACGTATATACCAATTGGGAAAGATTTGAGCAAGTAGAAGAGGTGGAAACGAACTGCAGAAAATAGCTTCGGGTCCAATATCATTAACATTTCTTATATAAGGTCCGTACGTTTTCTGTTTCCATTTTTTTTAAGTATTTTTATTATTAGTATCAATCCGTCCCCGTTACGTTATGGGGATGTTGAAATCCGTATATGATCATAATAAGTTATCTGCTTCTATTAAGTGTTCATGATCATAATATTTTATCTGTTTTTTTTTTTTAATATGAGAACTTTCATTCTGTGAGTGCTCGATTGGTCCTCACTATAGTTACTATAAGTATAAATGTAAAGTTTAAAGAGAAATACCATTTAATGGTAATAACATTAAGTAATTATAAATCGAGAAATAAAACTTAAACAATTGTAACTCTGTTCGGTGTATGTACGTATGCATATAAAATCATATACTTTAAGCGTTTAAGATATCGTGGTATGAAAAAAAGGCTGAAATATACGTATAAAGGTAAATATATGGCCGAAATTCTTAATATATTAAAGATAAATATATACAGTAACTTTATAAATATATAAAAAGCCGAAATTCTAAATATATGGATTACTTGAATATGTATATAATAAGTATCTTTAGTTAACGATGGTATATATAAGTACATGTCGTATGATCAGTTTAGATTTTTAGTAATAAAATAAGTACGTAACTATAGCTAAATTATTAACATATATGTGTGTATGTATATTCTCGATCATGTAGGAATCAAACCATTATATAAAGTGTATGAGTAATCAGGATTCTTAAATTATGTATACATACGTGTGTGATTTAGTAATTAACAAGTGTGATGTTATATTCACACACACAAACTCATTTAGATAAGATTCTATGGAAGTACATAAAAATGTGTGCCTTAGGATCATGGTCTAAAATTAGAATAATAGTCAATCATGTATATATATTTTGTTTATATATTACTATTTACGAAAGTGAAAAATAATATGGAGTAATAATTTATGTGTTGATTGCATAACTTTAGTACGTAAGGATCTAAAGTAATGGTTACTGTTTGTTATAAGGAGTATTTTATTAAAATATAATTTCTTAAAGATAATCCAGATACTCCGTAGTAATTAATAATTTTATAAAAAGTGTTCAGTATAAAGATTAGTTAATAATCATAAAAATACCCTAAAATAATTTAAGATATGTTAAACGCATTATTTTTTTATTGTAAATAAGCTAATAGAGAGAAATGTTTCCTAAATGCCTTACTCTTGATCCGGTACTCTGACGCGAATACTCCTGTTCTGTTTAGTGTACTATGTACACTCCTGAAATTCTGTCTTAGAGGAATTAGTGTTCTCCTGTTTAGTGTACTATGTACACTCCTGAAATCTTTTTAGAGCACTATTACTCTTCTGTTAAGGTTCGAGTCTCTTCGGTGATCTCGTCCTTTCTGTCAGCTAGCTTCTGTTAGGGATTGGTACGTGTAGCTCCGGCGATTACGTTTCCATATCCTTTCTGGGTAATGTGGGTATGGACTTTATGTTCGTATTCCTTACCGTTAGTATTCCTCCGTCTAGGTCCAGTTTCTTGAGTACAAGGCTTAAATGAATTTTTTTTTATAATATACATACCTCCGAATAAGAATTATTTGATAATTATGACATCTGAATATGCTTCTGATCTGTATATGGATATTTTGATTCTCATGACAGTTATTCGGCTCGCTCAGGTATGTCATATGTTTATTTGACTAGATGTTAATTATGTTATGTTGCTATTTGATATAAATATGTGATAATTATTATAATCATTATTGTTATGATTATTGTTATCAGTATTTGTACCGTACCACTCAGCACATTGCTGAGCGGGTAGTTGTTTGTTTTTCCTACCCGTAGGTTGAAGTACATTCAGCTAAGATAAGGATGCTGGGATGGAAGGAGGCATAGGATTCATGTGCATATCATGTGTGTATTGTTTATGAATAAACAAATAAGAAGCAAGTTTGACTTTGAACTTATCTGATCATTTTCGTTGTGTAAACGCTTCCGCATATTTTAAATATTTTGTGTTGTATAATATTAAGTGATTTATGGCGAATTGATATTTCAGGTATCGAAAAATAAGTTGACGTTTGAATAACGATGATTTATTTAAATAATAAATTAAATTTGTTTTAAATAATTAAAAGTCTTTTGGTTAAATCCGTTTTGACTCCTGCCTCGTGACACACCGCTCGGGACGGCGGGGCCAGTTCGGGTAGGGTGTTACAGGGGCGGGCCAACCCGCTTACTATCGGGCCAGAATTTTTATGACCCTAACCCGACCCACCTAACCCACGGGTTATGCGGGCCAGCCCGCGGGCCATAAATGTCAAAACAAAAAAACAATTAAATATCTAAATTAAAATCCAAACACAATTGTAATAGCAATTAAATATCTAAATTAAAATCCAAACACAATTAAAAAGGAAAAAATTAGTGCTTGAAAATCCTTTGATTGTATGTTTGAATGTATCATCGTGGGTAAGTGTATACTTAAAAAGTTAAAAGATGAAATACTTAAAAGCTTTAATGTATTATGTGGGTATACTTAAGCTGAAATACCGCAAATACCTAATTTCTCATTTATTTAGCCTGATTTGGATATCATGAATAAAACAGCATAGAAGTCCTTATGTTATAAAACAATATAGCAACGAATACATTAAAATACATTTATTTAGTCTAATTTGGATATCATGAACAAAATACATTAGTATTAGAAGTGAGGAAAGAACTAGAAGTAAAGAGAGAGTATAATAGAAGATATAATTGTCTTATATAGAAATAATATAATTAAAAATACATAGAATAAATTATATTTGTCCTCAGCCCGCGGGTTGGCCCGCTAAACCCGCAACCCGTTAGGGTTGACCCACTGAGCCCGCAAAACAATCGGGCCTGAAAATGATAGCTCTAACCCACTTATAAGTGGGTTGAAACGGGCCAACCCGCAGGTTTCGGCCCGTTTTGACGGCTCTAGAAAAACGTTTTGAAATTTCCAAGTTGGACTTTCATGTTTTTATTCCCTAAATAGAAGTAATTTCTGTTAAGTTCGACATTACAAGGCTTTAAACATGACAATTTTTCCAAATTTGGTAAAAATTAGTCATATTTAATGAATAAAAACATAGCAGTAATGTTTTAGAATTTTGAAACTTTTTACTCCTATTTAGGGAATTTTTCCAATATTAGTTTAGTTATAACACTTATAATCAACTCTAACACTAGCAGTAACTAATGCAACATAGTTATGGGCCTTGTGCTCTGATGGCATCACTATGGCACTCCCAAGGAGAAGGTCACAGGTTCGAATTTCATCCCAGTGCAAGGATGTTGGCATTAACATTAATCAGATACTATATAGGTTAGAAAGAATTGTCCAAAAAAATACAATGCAATCATGAAGAGTGGTTAATGGTAACTTCACGGTGATAGTGCTAATCGGACATTGTTTTTAGGGGTTTTTATTTGAATATTACTAATTTTTAACCAATTACTAAAAAAGTGACCTTTTAAAAATGGGCAAAAAAGTGATCAAGTAGGTCATATATTTGAAAAAAACATAGTGTCTGCCAGATTTGTATGTCACTGTTAAGCTTTATGTAACTGTAGCCGCCGCCCGTGTCACTGTAGCCACCTCCCGTGTCACTGTAGCCACCGCCCGTGTCACTGTAGTCACCGCCCGTGTCACTGTAGCCACCGCCCGTGTCACTGTAACCACCGCCCGTGTCACTGTAGCCACCGCCCGTGTCACTGTAGCCACCGTCCGTGTCACTGTAGCCACCGCCCGTGTCACTGTAGCCACCGCCCGTGTCACTGTAACCACCGCCCGTGTCACTGTAACCACCGCCCGTGTCACTGTGGCCACTGCACCATGGCCACTGCACTACCGTCACAGCACCACCGATACTACCCCACCACCGGACCACCGTCACAGCACCACTGGCACTGCCCTATCCCACCCCCACGAATTGTTACCTTCTCCCCCGACCTCCTACAACCAATAGCCTAGCTAACAAATCTACAAGGATGCCGTCAGATTCACACAAATAAGATCTGGATCTGAACACTCGCCGGAGCGCCGCACGACGTCACGGATCTCACCAAGCCATTTGGCTTACCGGAGCAACATCTCAGCCGCCGGCCAAATCCAGTCAACTCGCCCTCAGCCAGATGGCATCGCCGACCCCCAATCCCCTCCATCCGCCGCCACAGATAGAAATCGCCGCCGATTTCTATCCCAATTGTCGGTTAGAAAAAAGAGAAGAAGGAGAACGGCAAACATTGTAGACGATGGCGAGCAGCGAACAAGGAGGGAGACCGGCTATGGCGATGGTGCGAGGTTGACGGTTGGCGATAATCGTGTGGCAGGACGAAGCTGGTTGTGGGGGGCGGAGTGAACACCATCGATGGAGGTTTCAACTTGGTTAGTTTGAGAGACATAAGGTGAGAATGTGAGATCTAGTGAGTCGTGACTCGTGACCTTTGGAAATTAAAACTCAGATTTTAGGAAAAATAAAAAAAGGTCATAGTTTTGTCATTCAAAAGCCCAACCGTTATATCCATGCCATTCTTTCTTGTTTTTACACTACTTTGTTTTTATATACATACATACAAGTCAATACAAGTCAATATGAGGTAAAAATCCACGACGAACAACTTGTTAACTTGTGTCGTTAATGGAAAAAAAACTTGTGTCGTTAATTACTTAATTAAATCATTTTTAAGGAGTTTGAAACTTTGAACAAGGGATGTGAGAGTTGAGCCGAAGTGGCAAACCTACTTGAGAGATTTAAGTGTGTGATATGATCGAGTCTGGTCTTATTATTATTATTTGATCTTTGTGTATTTTATAATTATTCAAGTCTGGTCTGGTTTGGTTTGATCTGGTCTGGTTTAAGACTCAAATCAGTTCTAGTAAAAACATCCTAAGTAGTAGAGGTGTTCATCGGTTCAGTTTTATCGTTTTCAATTTTAGAAAAGGTGAAATCGTAAACCAAACCGCACTACTTGAATTGGTTTCACTTCGGTTTCGGTTCGGTTAATTCGGTCAGTTTTATCGGTTTCGATCGGTTTTAGCATGTTTTTGTCGGTCGGTTTCGGTTCGGTCAGTTTTTTTAACCCAAAAGGTGAAATCGTAAACCGAACCACCTATGGTTAAACGGTTTTAGTCGATTTCGATTTTGATCGGTTCGGTTTCGGTTGGTGTGTAAATCGATTTCGGTTTTTTGGTTTTTAGAACTGCTTACCTTTTTCCATTAAGGGGGTGTTTGGAATTGATTCTGCTTTTGCTACTTTTTAAAGCAGAAGCAGAATTGATTTTCAGAAGCTGATCTCACCCAACCTCTAAAAAAAACTAATTCTAGAAGTACATTAGAGCACCAGAATCACTTCTGCACTTTCACCCAAACACTCAAACTTCTGCTTCTGCTCTCCGAAGGAGCAGAAACAGTTTTAAGAATCATATCCAAACACTCCTTAAGTCCTGTCTGAATTAAGATGTCTGTCTGAATTAAGTGGTATTTGTATATAAAACTGTTCACTTTTCGTGTGGAATAGACGGTCTGAATGGAGTAAAATAATTAATTTAGTAATATTCTTGAGTTGTAAAGTCTATAACAAACATGACTTAATGGTTGAATGATTATGTCATTATTCGCATTAAGTCCATTAAGTCGAAAGTAAATCGTCCAGTAGTGTATGTAGGTTATAGCTGAAGGTAAATAGAGCATTTTTAGTCGTGTATAATATTCATATTTTGTACAGTATCAAATTAAATTTGATTGCTTCATTGTAGTCTGTATTTGATTTTTTGGTACACACAACGTACAACTGCACAAGTCAATTACCAGCGGCCTAATCAAACAAATTGTCCTTCTCTAATTTCCAATACTTTAACCCAAATTTCCACCTTCCATGTCTTTATATATCGGCGTCGATGTGCCGAGATCCTCCTCCCGCTTGGATAGATTTCATTTCACAATCACTCGCCTGGATTCCGATATCTTCCTTCTTTGTCTTCTCCTCCGGCCCTATATCGGGCTAGTGGCAATCGTCCATATTCCGATTTCTGTAAACCCTGATTCCATCAAACCCTTAGGTTTTGAACCCGATCCAAACCCTCCGGCGTCTCTGCTCCCCGTCGCCGTCCGTTTTGCTTCCCCCGATTTCTGTCCAACCCATCACTTGCAAACCCCTTAGCATGGGCACTGTTCGGGTTAATTTGGATTCTCAACAGCCGGAAGCCTCTTCGTCTGCTCAATCCACCACCACTACATCCACCTGCCGGACAGAGACGATCAACGGCTCGCACGATTTCAAAATCAAAGGCTATTCGCTGTCGAAAGGCATGGGAATTGGGAAATACATAGCCTCTGAGACGTTCACTGTTGGCGGGTATGATTGGGCGATTTATTTTTACCCCGACGGTAAAAGTGTTGAGGATAATGCCGTGTATGTGTCGCTTTTCATTGCGTTGGCAAGTGATGCAACAGATGTTCGGGCACTGTTCGAGCTGACTCTGCTGGATCAGAGTGTGAATGAGAGGCACAAGGTTCATTCTCATTTCGGTAGGGTCTTGGAGACTGGGCCATACACCCTCAAGTATCGTGGCAGCATGTGGTAAGTTCTCACACACTCTCTTTTTTATGTTCATGCTATCTTTAGATGTATGCCTTGCTTTTGTTTAAGATTGACCATTGAGATTATATCATAGAATGTAAATGGCCTGATAATACGCCATCCACCTTTGAACTTTCTTGTACTCCTAGTGCGGTTTGACCTTCTCTTGTTGTATTTTTAGCTGCTCTACGATTTCCTCTCTCATTATTGTCCATTTATCTCAAGAATATGTTGCTAGAACTTTCCATTCTTGTCATTTTGTTCTCTCCATATACTTCAGTTTTTATGATTTTGCATGAAAAAGATTTTTTGGAATGCCTTTCTTAAGGGTTTAAACTTTAAACTGATTTGAATTTCCTTTCAAACTTAACACATGAAATATTGGGTCATTGAGATATGGTGTTTCTGTGGTATAATTTTACACGGAGAAGAAACCTGCAGTGCATGTATTGTATAAATAATCA